TCTACTACTGAAAATGTCATGGCGATGCCATGGGACGATACCATGGATTTTGCCATGGACATGGATACGGATATGGATTTGAATTTGATCTGAGTTTGGGTTTTTTGATGGGATGAGACGAGAGGGAAGAAAGTGTGGGATTTACTTGTTTTCTTGGTATTTGGGAAATCTACGAGGATCAGAAAACCGAGGGTCATTCATGATTACGTTCCTTCTTTTTTTTTTACCGTTGTGGGGTTTAATAGGGGGTTAATGTGAAGGCGTTGGATGGTATCTGTCTTTTTTCTTTTTTGCTTCTCGTTGATTGCTTCGTCATGATATATCATCCTTATACATTGTTTTCCCTTCATAAACACACACTCTCTCTGATGTGACAAGTAGAAATGACGAAGAAATTTTTTTTCTCTCTTTTCATAACTTTGACAATCACTTTATACCGGTTCGCCCGTAAATGGCAAAAAAAAACATGTAGTTAATCACCAAGGATGACAATGTCAGAATCCTGCATTTCAATTCTTGATATGTACGAATCATACCCTCTCATACTACCACCTCCACTTGGAAGTATTTCCACTTTTTATTTTTTATTATCGTTCAGACTAAAAATCATAACTGATCCACACTAAGCTTCTGCACAATAATACCGGACGCAGCACCACCACCATTGCAAATAACCGCCGCACCGTACTGGCCATCCTTGAGCTGATGCAGCAGGGTAACCAATATCCTGCTTCCAGAGCTACCAAGTGCGTGACCAAGCGCAATAGCACCACCGCGGGGATTAACATTTTCAGTACCGAGACCGAGGATCTTTGCGTTTGCCTTGATGACGGCGGCGAAAGCCTCGTTGAATTCCCAGATGGCAATGTCGGACTTTGACAGGCCGGATTGGGCGAGGAGTTTGTCGACGCAGGCGGCGGGGGCGACGGGGAAGTCGATGGGGTCTAAGTTTTGGAGTTGTTAGTAATGTGCTTTTGTTGTGAAGATAGACAGAACGTACCCAGAGCAGCGTCAGCGTAGGTGACGATCTTGGCTAGTACACGGCTGTCCTTGCCGTACTTTTGTGCAATGTCTTTGCTGCCGAGGACCAGGGCTGATGCGCCGTCGCTGAGGGGCGAGCTGTTGGCCGCTGTGACGGATCCGTTTGGTCCCTTTTCGAAAGCCGGCTTCAGCGTTGCAACCTTGTCTAGCTTGAGCTTGTTGTATTGTTCATCCTCTGAGACGACGGTCTCGCCCTTCCTTGTCTTGACGGTAACTGGTACAATCTCATCCTTGAAGAGACCATCCTTGTACGCCTGTTGCGCGCGCTTGTATGTCTCAATAGCGTAGTCGTCCTGATCTTGCCTTGAGACCTCGTACTTCTTGGCCGTGTTCTCTGCGCAGTTGCCCATGTGGATCTGGTTGTAGACGTCCCATAGACCATCGGAGATGAGACCGTCCTCCAACTTCTGGTGTCCGAATGCTGGCTGCTGGCTTGCTCGGCTCAGGTAGTATGGGACTCTTGTCATGTTTTCCATTCCTCCCGCGACCTGGGCTTCCGCCTGTCCGAGCTCAATGGTAGAGGCGGCAATGCTGACAGCCTTGAGACCTGAGGCGCATACCTTGTTGATGGTGGTGGCTTCGATGTTTGTAGGAAGACCGGCAAAGATGGCTGCTTGTCGTGCGGGTGCCTGTCCAACGCCACCTCCAAGCACGTTGCCCATGTAAACAGCATCGATAGACGATACCGGGACCTTTGATTTCTCCAGGGCGGACTTGATGGCCGTGGCGCCTAGTTGCGGGGCCGAAACCGTTGTAAAGTTGCCATTGAACTAACAAACACTCAGCATACAGAATCAATTGATGCTTATCTTGTACTGACCACTGCGGTCGGTGTCCTGCTGGCACTCAGAATGTATGCATCCCGAATCTCTTTCCTTTGTGGCGTGGAGCTGCTGAACTGTCTTTGAATGCTAGCCAGTCGTTGTTGCGGCCGCGAAGCCATCTTGAAGGAATTGCGAAGGACAGCGGAAGACATGGTGACGGCGATTCCTGGAGAAGTTTGCAAGAGTTCAGAATGCGGAGAAAAGGACTCTAACGAGTCGATGCGTGGCTATCACATGGCAACGAGAGTTAGACTGATGTGACAAATGCGGGCGGAATGTGGAGGAATGACGCGCTACAGCGGCTAGGCCGAGGTTCGGCAGTGCACGGCACTACCCGGCTTAAGCTGTTCCGCTGAACCATTTTTTTTAATCATTTGACATCACTCTGGAGAAATGAAGATTGTTCAGTGATATTGGTCTAGAAATACAAGTGACATTGAATCATCTCTCTAATAGTCATAACTTCTGAAAATCTCATAACTCAAGCCAGTGCACCCATGGGGTCCCAGAGCTCTAGCATCTTTGGCTGCTGCTCCAATACCTTCCTGATCGACGAGCTAACCACACTCGGATCTACAACGGCCTGGTATACAAACTCGTCCATCCAAGAATCGCTCATAACAAAGTATCCCTTGTCGCCCACACGGTCACTCCACGAATTTTCTACCCTCCAGCGCACTGGCTTGCCGTCAACCACATGCACAGCAGTCAACACCATGGCGTGCGTCATTTGACTTTCTCCAGTCTGTAGACGCTCGGCCTTTGTCATACCGAGCCTGACATTGAAGCCGAGCTCGTAGTCGAATAGCTGGGTATCCATGATACCCTTGGTCGAATCAGAGTATTTGCCTACGTCGGAGCCAAAGAAAACAGGCATGCCGCGTTTCAGCATGACAATGCAAGCTTCTTTGATCGTCTTCATGTCGACGTTGACGTAGGTTACTGGTCGGCCGTTCCAGACATTACCCAGGCGCTTGACACTGAGCAGGCGGTTGTAGGGGTTTCGGGGGTCGTTGACCAAAGAAAAGAGGGTGTGCACATCAGTTCCAGACAATGCGCGGACTACCCTGTGATCGGAAAGTTCCTTGGCAAACTCAACTGGTCGGCTAACGACGGTGTTGAGTTTGCCATCCTTGTCATAGTACTCCCACGTGAAGGGCTTGGTGGCAGATGGTGGGGGACCGAGCATCAGCGTCAGGATGAGATGAATCTCACGGAGCATCTTTTCCTTTTCGCTAGCCAGGGTTGCTTTGACGGCTTCGGGAGACCAGTTGCTCGAGGCAATGGTACGCAGCCGGATTGCATCCTCGCGCAGCTTTGTGGTGATGAGGCGGTCCATGATGGAAGAGTTGGAGGCATTGAACGAGTCTGGGTAGATTGACTGGGGCACGAGACCGTACTTTTGTACAAGGTTTGCAACCATGTCCCATTGACCGCCATCGCCGACAGGGCTGGACATGAGGGCCTGTACTATGCGACTGTCGATATCCTCGTTCTTGGTCTCGAGTATGCTCTCGAGGAAGTAGTTTGCCTTTTCAATCTTGTCCCAGTAGAAGAGGTAGGCTTGTGACAGTTGGAACTCGGAGAGCTTGTACCGCTTCATGATGGCGATGCGGAAGACATTGGTGGATGCAAACAGCCAGCATCGTCCAGAAGAGGCTTGGTTGGTGACGGGAGAGCCCTCGAAGGGTATCTTGATGTTGAACTTGTGTGTATCTTCGATGGTGGCTGCGCGAGAGGAGAGGACGGCGTTGGCGGAGTTTGAGCTGAGGGCTGCCAGAGCGAGGCGGTTCTATCAGAAGGAGGTCAGCCGATGCAGGGAACAAGAAGAATGAGCGAGTGTGTGTGTAGTGTACCTTTGGGTCAGCCATGAGCTCCTTCTCCCACTCTTGAACGGACTTGATGGAGACATTTTGCTGGTACTTGACGACGGGTGTGTACTGGGGAGCTGGAGCACATGGTCAGCATGGAAAGAAGGAAGGTGTCGGGGGAAAGATATGGGATCAAGAACATACGGGCCTCTCCATCGCCTTGGACCACAACATACTCCTCCTTCTCCTTCAAGTACTGAGCATACTTATCATGGTTCATGTTGAGCGCGTGCAGACGTTCGAGGAGCTCGTCGTTGACTGCGGCTTCAGACTGCTTGGACTGGTCGGCACCCATAGCGGATACTGGCGCGGACGGTGTGGGGTCTACTAAATATCTATCAGAAGGCTACGGTGTCGGGAGGTGTTGCGTTAGTGTGGGAGAGGCGCTCCCGTCCGCGTCGCCGTGGGTGTGGTCGTGGCAAGCCATCATGGTGTCGGTATCTTATCGGGCTTATCGGGGGGCAGCGCGTGCAAGGGGCGCGTGGCAGGTCGACCGTATCAGATGGTCTGAGTGGAACGCGAAGCCTTCCGTATTGGGCGTGGCCGCGTTGCGACATGGAGGTTGAGAGCACGTCGGCCGTCTAATCCTCGCCAGCACCACCACAGAGGGTGGTTGAGATGCAGTCTCTCGCTGCCATTAGCACGCCTCTTGGGGCGGGCCAAGCACATGCAGGGCAGCACGAGTCACCGCTCAATAGACGACGACTACTTTTACTCCCTGGCCCCCTGCCCCCATCCATGTCTGCCCTCATCTACAAATCCCCGCCGATCGCGCTTGCCACCCCAACGCCATCGGCACGAGACCCTGAGCTCGGCAACGGCCAACGCCCTAGTTTCAGTTTCATCTTGCCCGTCAGTCCAACCGCCATTGCTTGACATGTCCATCTTGACTCTTGTCACTGGCCGGGCTCCTCCTCCACTCCACACCACATCACACATACACATACATTCAGGTACACACATATCCACACACCGCCCCATGGACCATGGCCGCGCATCGCTCGCACCCAACATGCGCGGCTCGTAATAGAGGAGATGAAGATAAGCAGGGCCGAACGCGTGTTTCATCACCGCGCGCAGTGCCTTCCCCTGGATTCAGGCCTGCTAATTCAGCCGCGGCGTGAAATTTGGCGACACTGGACCTTTGTGCGGTCAGCCTTGGTGCCGTTATATGTCTTCTCTTCTGCCTCATTCTGCAATTGACTGTGACCGCAACTAATACCCTCTTCAACCTCCCCATTCTGGATCCCCCGCCCTACGCAACATGGAGCAAGGACAAGGCCTCTGGAAGAAGCGCATCCTCGTGCCCTTCTGGATTGTGCGAATATGTCTCATGATATTCATCATCGCCATATTCGCCTACACCCTACGCACGCTGAAAGATCTCAAGGACTTTACTGAGCCAGGACCCGGGTACGCCTATGCAGTTGCTCATGCGCACGCTCGTAGACTAACAGCAAGCAGCACTGTCGTCCTCTTCATTCTCTTCATGGTCATTGTGCTGTTGATTGATGTGCTCGCCATCCTTCTCTTCCTTCGGGATAAGCTTAAGCCGGGCACCTTCCTAACCATGAACTGTTTCCAGACTGGCTTCTGGGCCGGAGTTCTGATTGTCGACTTTGTAGCAATTGGCCATGGCGCAAGCCCCGTCGGAATCGGCTTCAGCATCTTTGTCTTGTACGTCTGAACTGGTAATATAGCAATTCGCTGTGCTGACTCGTTGTAGCCTTACGTTCCTTGGTCTCCTCATCTACTCAATCATCGGCCACCGTCGCGCAAAAGCCGCAGCCCAGCGAGGCCACTATGCGCCCGCCCACAACCCAGCCATGCCTGCTACCGACTTGCACGGCACTCCCTACTTTGGCGCGCCCAATAACCATCAAAATACCGCATACCATTCGCAGACACACCCACCCGCAGATGCGCACGATCAATATGCTGCTGCTCCTCCATACCAGGCCGGTGCTGCAGGCGACTATTACCACCAGCAGCCCATGAAGCCTGCTCACATTGTTTGAGAGAGTCCTGCAAATCCATAACGACCAAGTTGTTTCGGCGAATCGGCGCAATTACATATAAATAGGGCGGTGTAGTCTATGCCGAGATGCCAGTTGCTTGTGCGAGGAGGTAACGCGAGCGAATCACGATGACTGGAAATCCACTATCTCTATATACTGTCTGGCCATGTCGTGCGATTCTTGACTGGTGCGACGAGACGATTCCGGCGGGCGATGGTGGCAGGGCAAACAAGCTCGTGGCTCGTGCGTGGCATGTCCTGGGTTTCTGAGACGCGTACAACTTACTCGCGTTTTTTTCTTCCGCCTACGCCACGGAGTGGTATGTGATATGCATTTTTGCGTGCTATAAGCCTGGGCTTGGGTATAAGGTACAAAGTTCAAGGGCCTTGGCTCCTTCTGCTTCGCCTCAAATTTTGTGGGGAGCGGCCCGTCAGATCCATGCGCAACCGGCGGGAGGTGATCAGATGTGGCAGGAGTAAAAGATCAGGCCTCGCGGAGGACGTAATGTATAGTTGAAAGAAAATCATTCCAATACCCGACGTGGTGGTACGAGTGAAGTAGAGCGTGAATAAAGTGTCGGTATCAACACACGTGCAAGTCGCCGGCGGGTGTAGTTACCGGTTCAAGTGACTGGCGCCGAGACGCTACGACTAGTCCAGAGGCAACGCTGCTTGGAAATGTTTCCAGCTCGGAGGTCAACACCCACTCACAGCACGAAAGCCGTTCTCTCCACCATGTCGCAGCCTTGTTCATTTATGCCCCGAGCAATCACACTGCTTCTCCAGGCACGTTGCCATGAGCCTGTGCCTGTCCTGGGCTGTGTTTCCAAGCCGTGTTTACTTTTAGTCCGCATGATGGCCTTGAGTCGTTAGTGGCTGATCATTGAATGCGACGTTATACCCCATGGGATAAACCGTGATAGGGATACTATATATCTGTAAGTAGTCCTCGAGCTACGGCTGTTTGCCTCCAGCACGCTCTTTTGTCTTGCCACTCTCCCGACCTCCTTGGCCCGGTGACGCTCGCTCTGCTCCACTCATTCGTTCTATCCACCAAGATGCGCTCGTTTTTCTTGCTCGCCGCCGCTACGGCGCCACTCGCCCAAGCAGTACGCATCGTCCAGTCCAACGACGACGGCTGGTCAGAAATTAACCTCCGCACCTTTTTCGATGTCTTGAACTCGGCAGGCCATCAGGTGGTGCTCTCCGGACCGGCTGAGAACCAGTCGGGTACAGGTGTGTAGCTGCAAATATATACACAACCATCAACCCATGTATACTGACCTTTCAAGGGTCGTCCGACAAGGCGCCGACAACTGTCGACAGCGATGGCTGCATCCACGCCTCTTGCCCAGGCGGGAGCCCCCCAACTGGCGCAAACGCAACAGATCCTCGCCTAAATTACGTCAACTCGTTTCCCGTCACATCCATCAAGCAGGGCATCGACGTTACCGCGCCTGCCCTGTGGAACGGGGCCAAACCTGAGCTTGCCCTAACCGGACCGAATGTCGGTAGCAATGTTGCTGTCCAACTTCCCTTCTCTGGAACCGTTGGAGCCGCCGTCTACGCAGTCAAGACGGCCCAGATCCCAGCAATCGCCTTCTCAGGCAAGAGTGGCGAGCCTACTGCATGGAACGCCCCCACGCCTCTCTACAGCAAAGTCTATGCCGACCTCGCTCTTAACGTAACCAGCACCATCATCAAAAGTGGCAAGCCGTACCTGCCCGCAAACACGTTCCTGAACGTCAACTTTCCCGAAGTTTCCGACTCCCGATGCAGCGACCCCAGCCAGTTCAAGTTCATCTTTACTCGCGTCAACACTGGCGTCTTTAGCTCCCGCGATGCAGAATGGTGCGGTAGCACGCGCCTGCCCTGGGAGGCTGATGTCATTCTGCTCAGGGGCAGGGACTGCTATGTTACCATCAGCCCTGGTGATGCAAACGACAAGTCGACCGTGAATGATGCTGCTGTCCAGACTCAGATTATCAACAAGCTCAAGCCTATCTTGTCATGCTTGCCTTGAGAGAATCGCTGGTGGCTGTGGGCTAATAGGAAGTGTACGCAACATTATGACATGTAATATTTTTGTGATAACGTGTTTCACCACCGAGCGCCGCACCCCACCGAGCGCCGCAGTTCCCCCACTAAAACAACGTCCCAACAATAACGCGTGATGTCTCAACAACTACAAACCCAGAGAGAGTATACTGAAGCTGACGTGCAAATAGCAGTCTCTGAGCTTTCTAGA